AAGAAGACAGATTATAGATAAATGGAAAAAATAATTAATTTCAAAAATATTGTACTCAGAATATTTTAACGAAAGAAGTAAGTATTCATGATATTTTTTCAGTCGCGTATTATATAGTTATTACTCAAACTATTGCACATTCAAAATACTTAATAAGCGAAGAAGACAGATTATAGATATACGTAGAAAATTATTCATTTCAAAAAATATTGTACCGAGGACATTTAAACGAAAGAAGTAATTACTCATGATATTCACTCAGTTACGCATTAGATAGTTATTACTCAAGCTATTGCATGTTCATAAGAACTAATAAGCGAAGAGGAGAGACTAGATAAATGAAGAAGATAATTAATTTCAAAAAATGTTGTACCGAGGACATTTTAATGAAAGAAGTAAGTAGTCATGATATTTACTCAGTTACGCATTAAATAGTTATTACTCACACTATTGCACTTTTATAAAAACTAAAAAGCGAAGAAGACAAACCGTTGATAAATGAAGAAGATAATTAATTTCAAAAATATTTTGAGTACTGAAAAATACTCGTTCAGGTAAAAGGAAAGAAGAAATAGCTAATAATTACTTCAGTCTGATCGATGCATACTAAATGAGTGTGGATATGAAAGAAATTAATATTTGTTTATATCTTATGATCAAATAGTATTGAGCGTTAGAGGGTATGCCTTCTACTGCTTTAGTGTGAACAGTTATACTATAGAAACATAATATGATGAGGTTTTTGTTTTAAACCATGAAGAACAGCCAAAAACCTCTACGATGCCCAATTTAAATGAGTTGTTGCTCATTCATCATGAAATATATTTTGTAAATAAAGTCCAGTAATCAAAACTAGTCCTCTCACAAATATAGAACAAAAAGTATTTTTTCAAAATGGGCAAACAAGTATAATCATATATAGAATCGAAATTGGTAGTCTGATAAGAAAATCTTACAAGATTCATAAAATTAAATGTCGAATCTATTTTACAAACAACTCTTTTCGTATAATCAAAAGATTCGACAACGGAAAAGGGGGTATTGTATCGATGGCTATTCCAGAAAAACTTCATACGATTGAAGACTAATTCACAAAAAGCATTCGAAAGTATTAGTTTGTATAACTGAAGTATATTTTCGCCATGAATAACATAAATCCATAAATGATTACATCGTATATTTTAATGTTCTCAGTATCCTTAGGACATCTAACAGCCTATTATTTATTATCACAATCAGAACCATCATAATTTCAGATTCGGGACACCAATTAATTTCATTATGTGCCATTGTCCCATATTGTTTCATATAGAAGTATCAATAAAAAGAGCTTGTTTTATTATTAAGTGTTGCATTTGATCATAATCTCATACCTCTATATTTTGTTATGTCTTTGATTCATAATTTAACTAAGATTTCACTTAAGAAAATACTCAGTGATATTAGGAAAGTCAGCTTTTGGTACCAGAAGGATTTTTAATCAAGAGGAAAGTTCAAAAATCAGAATTTTTGTAGCAGTCATGGGTGCATCGCAAAGGTGCACACCAAAAATATGACTAGTCAGCCATAAATTAGCACAAAAAAGATAGAATGAAAACGAATACAAGCAGAACGCAAAAGCAGAATAGAAAAAAACAAGAAAGAAAGAGATTGAAGAGTCTACATTATATAAGCAGTGGATATCACTGATGTTTTCGCATTCAACAAGAAAGAATCGAAATACAACGAGAGAAGGTAAATAGAATTTTTATCGCAAATTGAGTAGATATCTAATCCGAGTTCGAATATAAACTAACAGTTTTCATATCTATATCCATTACTATATATAAATATACATACATACTCCATTAAACTTAAATATAGTTAGGAATAAATTTTGTTTTGATGAATTATAGTTATAATTAATATGTGTATATATGTAGACACATACATTGTCCAATATGTTAATAATAGATTTAGATTTAGTTTTATAAAATTATAATTGACAATCTTAATTATATAAATTAGATTTTTATTGTTTAGCTAGCTTCTTAGGACAAAATCTTTATTTAATTGTTTTATTTATTTCTGAATCGATATGAAATAGTTAGATATCAATTGATATATCTAGTTGAATAAAACAATTTATAAGTACATATCAATTTTAAATAGTTTTATGTCTTTTCTTCTGTGCTTTTGGTGATTTGCTTAAATTTAATTGTAGACTTTTGGTCTGTTTATTTCATTGATTTGATTTAGCAGCATTTGTTCTTATGTATTGTTCATCAGATGTAGTGGCTTTGGCTTATTTATATCTTTGTTTCTATGAACAAACTTTTAGATCCTTTTCTTTGATTTATTTACTTCCATACTGTGCTAGGGTTTATCAATACTATCAGTGGCGATGATTAGGGTCTAGCAAAGTCTCCTCATGTTATAGATTATCGACAAAAGTTGATGGTAATGAAACTATGAGTGAAAATATTCGCACAGATATGAAGAGAGATTCTGATAAGTCGTAAAAGAATTTAGATAGTTTATTGAATTGAAATATATCTTTTCTATCGTAAAAAGGATAGCACAACAATAAACCGTTGAGAAAGGATATATGAAAGCGTTCGGGTGATACATGTAGCAGTGCATAAAGCTTCTAAGAATGGTTCAAGAGAGAATTCAGGATATACTCATCTATGAGTTATGAGTATCTCTTATACTATTTCCTAAACATCTCTTTGGTAGCTTTGTTGGTTTTAGAATGAAAATTCTATTTTGTAACGACTCTCCATTTTACAGAAAGTATGTAATCGTTAGGAAATCAAATAAAAAAAGTTTATCTTCTTTTATATCTATGACTGTTATAAATGTTGACTAGTCAAAAGATAAAATTAACATTTGTTGTTTATTTTAGGTATGGGTAATTATCTTCCAAATTTTCGTGGTAATATTGTCCATGGAACTAGAGAAACCAAGTATGAATCTATAACCATTACTCTTTTTTTTTGCATACTCTTCATGTCCCATATTTAGACGGCGAGCAGGATGGTTACCAATAGCAGGCATATGTATAGTGTTAACTGTACTAGTCCTAATTGCTGTAACGATAACTTGCTCATTGATCCCACTGTACTTGTCGAAGAAAGACGTTAATATTGTGGATAATAATGGTAAAGAGATTAGTGTTTCTACTAATTGTTTCATTTCACCTATATATTTTTTAGTAACTACAAACGTTAGCATGATATTTGCTACTGATCTCAGTAGTACTGTTGGGGAAACAGTTACAAATGATGATTCACTTACTACTCAAGTACGTTTTTTATTTTTTCTAATGTGATAGACAACATAAATATTTTTATTTTACAGTTTAACGCAAAAATGGGGTACACAAACGATGTGTTAAGTGTTAAATCGGTTTCCTTAGAGACTGGTAGCATTACAAGCACCAAGAGAAGAAAACGACAATTACGGCGATCACGGTCAGCTAGTTTAAAACCTTTTTTGTTAAGTGAAAAAATGTTCATATTATTTATTCTTTTAGAGATGCATTATCTTGCAGTACAACTCAAGCAGGTTCTAGTCTGAGCCAAGGTAGCAATCTTAGAATTATAATTACCATTAATGAGTGCCCAAAAACAAAATGCAAGACTGCTTCTTGTTTTACACAATGTGTACCTACAATCAAGGCTGATATACAATCTAAACTTGGATCGACTTCATTTAGTATTGTAACAAATCTTGGGTCATATACAGTTTCATTCCAATTTTGCACATTTGATCAAGTTGTTTCAGGTAAAAGAAATACATCAAAATGAATATCTCCTAATACTGATCATGCTAATTTAGAATACGAAAACCAAAATTTTATCGTTTCTTTATCTTGTACTCTATTCTACTTCTTTCCCTCTAAATATTGTCTTTATATAGTAGAATTGTTTTTCGAAGGAATCGTGAACATATTTGGGTTGATTTGATTCAATTAGAAAACCATCTGAAGAACCAAGATGGCTCCGAATTGAGTCTATTCCTTTCCTATTTCGACTAAACAATTCACACGAGATATTAAAACATTTAGTAAAGCCATGTTTTACATTTCAAGATACATATCTAACCTAAAGTATAGCTAAAAACTGTCGATGACTTTAATAAACTGGTTACATAAGTCATATAAAAAGATATGACTTCTAAAGATCCATTTTTTCATAAAGAAATTATTCATTCAGATTTGAGTGCGACGGCATCGACGGCATCAAACACATCATCTACAACTTCAACAAATATAACATCTACCCTAACAGTGACAACAATAACAACAGCATCAACCACCACATCAACTACTACAACAACAACATCAACAATAAGCACGACAACAACTACAACCGATACAACCACAAACACAATAACTGATACAACAACAACTACGACAACGACTACAAGCACAACAATCGATACAACAACAACCACAGTAACCGACACAACTATAAGCACAACAACAACCGATACAACTACAAGCACGATAACAACCACAATCACAACAACCGATACAACAACAACTACAAGCACAACAACCGATACAACCACAATCACAACAACCGATACAACAACAACTACAACAACTGATACAACAACAACCACAGTAACCGACACAACCATAAGCACAACAACAACCGATACAACTACAAGCACGGTAACAACCACAATCACAACAACCGATACAACTACAACAACTGATACAACAACTACAATAACAACTACAACAACGACATCAACTACAACTACTGCAGGAGGTATATTTTTTTAGACAAGAATGAGTACGAAGGAATTTTTTATATATGACTGACGTAAGTTCTCTTGGAAGATTTTAGTCAATTAGACAGTCTTTTCTAGGGTGTGGGTATGAGTATTATATCCATCTCATACCCACACCCAAACTCTTAATGATAAAAGCCAAAATAATTTCCGTATTCATTTCTTACGATATAAAGTTAATATAAGATTGAAACAGATAATTACTGATCAGTTACGACTGTTCGACTTTTAGTAGAAATTTGCTCAAAAATCTTTTCTTCCATTAAAACTTTGCATATATTACCCTTTTTATTTCTTTTTTTCTAGTCACTACGGCTACATTGATAAATCCTTGTACGTATGCATACAGAAACAATTTTGATTAGATATAGGTCTTTATTTTTTTGTTTTCTTCATTTTTCAGGCATTAATGGAATTTACTGGAATACAACCGGTACATTGCGTGCAGGTACTGGTTCATCAGGCACTGCTTTGAATAAGTTATCTTCGCCAACTGGAATATTCCTTGATTCAAGTGATTATTTATATGTTGCTGATAGTGGTAGTTATCGTGTATTGAAGTATGCACCAAGTGTTACCACAGGCACTCTGATAGCCGGTTTAACAAATGTATCCGGCACTACCTTGGATTTATTTTCTACAGGTATTCGTTATATTTTTGTTGACTTGAGTCAAAACCTCTACGTCGCTGATACTTATAATAATCGTGTGGTGCTTTGGCCAAATGGCGCTTCCACCGGTACAGTCGTCGCTGGCAATTCCACTTTTGGAACTTCGTTCAATCAAATATATAATCCATATGGTATATGGGTAGATTCTAGTTCGAATATATACGTGGCGGAGTATCAAAATCAACGTGTAACTAAATGGGCTTCAGGTGCAACAACTGGTATACTCCTCGCCGGTGTAACAGGTTCAGCAGGTAAGCAGAACAGTGAAAAATATATGTACGATATTATGAAAATAATTGTATTTAACCACAGTAGACGAGAAAAATCCGAAAAGTGAGATAACTTCGAAAAAATGTTTGAATTTTCTCAACAAATAATACCATCGGTAGAAAATATAAAAATTATAATTCAAACAAGAACTTGAGAATTCTCGAGTAGTTGTTTCATATTGATGAGTCATCGATCTAGACTAATACTGTTTCTACATTAATTCAAATTTAAAAACGATTTTTTAGAACTTTCGACAAAGTGCATAGTTAACATTTCTAGTATTTCATTGGTAAATCATTATTTTAAAATATTCGAAATCCGAATTCGACGGACGTTAGGTAACAAATGTCTCCTTTTATTTCCATTTTTATCATCAGGTAGTACAACGAACAAATTAGCATCACCGGCTGGTCTGGTATATGATGAAGCAAATCAAGATTTATATATTGCTAATTCTGCTACCGCCACTTCAACAGTAATGAAATGGCACGTTGGTGATTCGAGTGGCTTAGTCATAGCAGGAACTCCGGGAAGTCCAGGAAACAGCTCAACTCAATTAAGTTCTCCAATGGGAATATCGCTAGATCAATGGAAAAATTTATATGTGGCTGATCGTACAAATAATCGAGTCCAATTTTTTTGCAGTGGCAGTTCAACAGGTATTACCATCGCAGGAACTGGTAGTGGTGGTACCAATATAACTGCTCCATATGATGTTAAACTGGATTCACAACTTAATCTGTATGTCAGTGAAAACAGTGGAGCCCGTGTGCGAAGATTCGCTAAACTTTAAGAGAGATCACTCTAACAATATTATTACTATAAGTTTGTTTTATTTTTTTCTTCTCTTCTTCTTTCATGTGTATATGTCTTTCTTTTCTTTACATTTTCGCTTAATTCTTATAAGAAGATGAATTACATCATCTTCTTTGTTTTCGTTCGCTTTGGTGAGAGATAAAAAGGACCTTGTAATATTTTTTTTATTCATTTTTTTGTACATTTAAAGTGTGACATAATAACATTATTTAGTATCCTCATTTCTCCATATTTTTTTTCTTTTCATTCTTTGAAATAAATTATTTGTAATCTCGACTTCAATCGTGTGATGAAATCGACAATCGAATTCTATTATTTTACAAAAAAAATAAATTGAACTTATGAAAGACATCCTATGAGTTCACCGATAATATATAAAAAATACTTACATAATATCCTATACTCATCTCTTCATTTTCGTTCTAGTTGAACGATAGATGTAGAAAGAACATTTTAAATAAATACATTAATATGTAATTGATATGTTAGACATTGTTCTTTTTGCTAACGAATGAGAAAAACCTCACATTTATTTTTGATACAATCTAACGAAATATCTCTCACATAAGAATATTGTATCATTCATTTATGGAATCGTTTCTTTAGATAAATAGTTTATGGGTTAAGACACAAAAATAAAATAAATAGATAATAAATAAGATAGTTTGTTCATGAGTAGATCTCATTGAGAGTAAGAAAGCGTCAGAATCAAGAGTTAAGATCATTTTACTGAATTTTCGCATTAGTAACTATCAGAAAGTGAAATTACGAGATCTGGATCTGAAGTTTTGCACAAATAGAAGTCTAATGGTTCTTGAGTTACTCCAAAACTGTTAGCTTTAAGAAAAGTTCTTTTACTGAAGTATTACATTTTCCAAAAACCGATCGATTATCATTATATTTATGCCAGAAATCGAGAGTACTATTTCAGATCGAAAATCAAGTAAAGTAATCATAACTTTTGGTTAATAGGCTGTGGACCCGAATCCTTTTCAGATGTTCTTGAGAGTTAATGTTGTTTGTATTGCTTCGGTATTAGTTTCTATCTAGATTTCCACTATGATTCGTTTCTGAGAGCAACAAATGAAGCGCCATTAGCGTTTGTATTCTATCAAATAAATAAAATTTTTACAAAACAATTGATTATAGATGTCTAGACGCATTTTTCTGGTATTATCACATATAAAACTATTTTCCGAATGTAGTTCCACTAAAAATATAACTTATGAAGAATTATCTTACATTTAATTTTGATATTTGGTATTATATTTCATTGAGAAAGATATTATAGAGAATACGAATATGTTGATGTTGAATGGTGACTCAGAATCAAACTCAACTATCTGAGATGATTGCACTGACGAGAAGAAAATTGCCAAGTCGTATTACTTTAGTTTCCTTACACATTTTATTAGCATTGTTGAAAAGAAACATACAAGATATGGCAGTTGATGGGATCAAGCCTAGCATAAATGTACCATTGTGAAGAAAATATCTATCGAGAATAGTACTACTAGACGTACCCTTTGATGGACAATCTGAAGATGATTTTAATGAAATTTGTGCTTTTGGTAATTCTACAGTTTGGTTCATCGATATCTTTAAAGGATTTGAGTAATTTGCACGAATATTTTGCAACCATTTCTTTCTCCAAAATGCATCATATCCACTATTTCCAGTTTCTCCAGAGTTTTGTACTGGAATATGTTTCCATAGATCGTAAGATACACCATAAACAATGCAATAACTATTAGAATGAACAGTTGTATTGCCAGTCAACACTTTCAATGTCTCTCCATGTATAACATTTGTTGAACGTTGATAAATTATTAAAACTGTATTAGTCTCTCTTAAATACAAGAATGTTGTTTGTGTTATTGAGATATTTGAAGTAAGATACTAAGTTTTGTTGAGATAATGTTGAAAAAAGGAAAACTATGTTATTGTATATATACATACTAGATTTCAAGGTGAATGACAATGTATGATAACACTATAAATATGATGATAAGAACGATTCAAAGTATGAATATTTGTTTTTAAATATTATTAAAATAAAGAATCTTTAATTGACTTTTTAATAATTTTTGCCTTTTCTCTAAGAATACATTAGTATATAACGATTAGTAGTTTGTTATAACCAAGTATGATACTTTACTGTCATTCTTAATCGCTTCTTCATAACAACAGGAAAATCTTATATAACAAGAAAGAAATAGGGTATTTTGTCGAACGATGTTCGATCTAAAACAATAGTAATCATATGGACATTGATAACTATGACGTTTTAAACGTTTTTCATTTGATAATTCATTACAAAAAAATGTTGAGTGGATATAAGTGTTAGATATAAGACCCTATATCCACACCTGTCCGCATCCACCTACATCTTTCTATCTGATACGCTAGCTCTGTCTTATGTCAGTATAAATTTTATCGAAGACTGCGAATATAATCAACCATTTTCTGACAAGAAAATTTCAACAGGCATTGAAGATTATTTTGATGGTGTATTTATATTCGATACAGAACAGTTTTATTTTGAAATGTCAGATTTTACAAATTTCAAAAAACAAGATAATTGAACGTTTGAATTGTCAGCTTATCGAATGCCCAATATAATACATCTTTCAATAAGATTCCAGGCAAAACTGATGAGAATGTTTTTTAAATATATATTTTGTAGTAGTCATTTGAGAACTAAAAAAATTACATCAATAAAGATCGGAAGAATGATTTTGAGTTCCTTAGTAAACTGACATTTCTAGGTAAAATAGTGAAAAATTGAAAGTTGTTCGGTCCAATCAAGGGAGAATGTATATGCTTGGAATTTTCAACACTATAAAAGAATACGTTGTAAATGTTATCTTTCCCATCAAGCATCTCTTCACTACGTGTAGTTCAAGGACAAAGTTAAATGAAACATGATTGCGGTGGAATGTATGACGTTGTATTTCGTATAGGAAGCGGTTTTCTTCCTATGATTGTGTGAAATATATCGAGATGTTTTGTCATGTAAAACATATTATGTCCTTCTACGGTTCCTCTTTTGTGAAAAAAGTCATAGAGCAAACCACTAGGCATTCTGCATGTATTCTATTTGATTTCATGCGTCAGATACAGTAAAATTATTTTATGTGTAATGACGTTCGTACTATTTGTTGTCGTAGTAGAAAGAATAATTGTTTTTTTTCCCGACAGGTATATAAAGAAATGAAAAAAATCATTACTTTACCATTGAATTTCAAACATCTATTTTAATTTATTTATTCAACTATTGTGAAAATGAGTCTCTTTTGTAATGATGGTTGTTTTCCAGTGGCACATCACTATTCAACAAAACGACGATCAAGCCGAGCAGATGGATCATCATTTGAAGTAGCTTCTGTTGCAGCCAGAAGTGCTAAAGACAAATATTCCATGAAAGTTCCAACACCTTTTGGTACTGTGAAATTCAATGAAAGTCATACACGGAATGCAGCCAAAGCTTCACGTGCAAAAGGAAGCCGATTTTCAGCTGCTTCAAATAGTCTTTCTCATGGAGCCTCCTTCTTCTAATTTCAAACAATTTTCATCGAACATTATTCATATCGTATTTTTTGTCTCTTTCTTTTAATTATTAACATATATCTCTTAGCAGTTTCTTCCTCAGTATTGGATAGTTGTCTTATGTAAGGATTTATTTGATTAAATAAATTTTCAAAAAAACAAATATTGTGAAAAATTTCATTTTCTTATTTCAAGCGAAAGCAATTGTAAAAAAGTACAATATTAATCAAGATATGCAAACAAAAAATGTGTACGATTGTTTACTCGAGCATATAAAAATTAAACTTATCTTCAACTTTCATAAAATTGCGATCTATCAAAAGGGTGTGGGTGGATGTTGTTCTTTCATACTCACACCCACACCCACTTGGTAACTTTTTCGTAAGCGAAATCATTCACCTGGTTCTGCTGTACTTCTTTTCATGAACCTTCGTGTCATCTTCGTTCTTGCCAACACTATTTGTGGTACATCTCCATATTCATAGCTACTGCACTGATCAACACGAAAATTATTTTCTGCTCTTTGATTTGATACTTCATACATTCTGTTCATCGCTTCGATCGTTGAAATCTGTATGAAAATGCTCAATTTAATTGAGTACGATGATTAGCAGGCAATGAAAAATAATTATCCTACTTACATGCTTGTCGTTCTTGATTATGGCAATCGACAGTGTGGGAATGCTACCAGAACTATTCGAGCTCGCGTTCAAAACATTGTAAACAAAATCATCTCTAAGTGGTCTGAAAATAATACCTGTCGATGATCTTGACACATTAGTCCACCGACAGTTCTTGTCGATACATCGTTCAATGTGCTACAATTCGATGCATCTTTGTTTGCTGTTGATTCGACGAGGAAGAATACCACATGGACTACAAGAAAAATGAAACAATTTGATGTAACTTAGCAACTGAAACAGACTAGAAATAATAGCAGCATACACAGCATGATAATGCAAATATAGTTAGTAGAGCTAAGCTGGTGACCGTTTCAAAAATAGGCCAATTGATTGTTTCTGATGGTGTAGTCTGGGATAGA